CGGCCCGAGTTCGATCCCTGCAGCTTGCACTTTATTACGCCCATATGTCCATCCCTGCTGAATAATACCCGTCCGTAAGAAGACACTCAGGTGCCCGATACCATCGTGTCGAGATGTACTCAGTGAAGGGTTGCTTACAGTCAATACCTTCGTTAAAGATGTGATCGAAAAACGATTCATACACACCTTTGCAACTCCCGAGATCTGCCAATTTCAACGTGTCGTATTGGTGCAATAATAGGTTCTCTGGTTTGATATCTCTGAAATTGATACTTCATTGAAACCATTTCCTGCCAAGAGCTCGCCTGTGGAAGAGCCCTTTTCCATGTAGGAATTCTACAGCGCAAAGCAACTGCGTCATCCACCGACCCACACGGAGCTCCGGAAAATAGTATCTTGTGAATTTGATGTGAACCCCTTCCGCTGTTTGGTTCACTTTCTCCCTCTTATCGCCTCATAAACGTTCATATCCATCAATTCCAACACTAGCGCCAAGCTGCCCGTGGTGATGTCATACAGAACGTCTAGTAATCTCACGATGTTCGGATGATCTAATGAGAGCTCATCGACCATTGACACTCGCAAGCCGTAGGAAATACCCCTGAGCATTCGCAAGGCCCTGATCTCGTTGAAGGAGTTCACAGCATCGATTGAATGAAATTTATTTTTCAAGTACTTTATGGCAACCTGGAAGGAAGAGAGCTCTCTTATTGAGGAGAGTTATTGTAGTATTTACTTCCTGGTTGCTTCTTATGTGGCGACCTAGGAGGACCTCAGAAAATGTGCCCTCCCCTTTTTTGCCTAAGAGTCGATAGTGATTCATGCAAGACAGAACATCAACTGGAATAGGCCTTTCTCAGAATAGCAGTTGTATCGGGGATTCTTGAAAAGAAGACAACGAATGTGCGACTAAGTCTTGGTACAACAGTCGTTCCCTCCTTGTCGGAAACAAGCCAATCTTGACACACTCTATCGGCGTGAAATGTACTACACAAAATTGCGTTCAATTCAAGTCAACCGGTGGTGACACTGATGCGAGTTCAACTGTATGGAAATTCCACCGAACTACTGAGAACGTTGATTCTAAGTGGTGCACTCCATTGAGACATTGTAGATGTAAGTTGCCATCAACAACAAGCAACACAATGGGAGGGCACTGTAATTTGACTGGTTATCATATTTACTTGTGTATGTCCTATCACACTGCAATACTGCAATTCTAAATGTCAATTTGTGGAATACCCTCACGGAAAGTGCGCCGAGCGCCAGCCGCCGTTATCTTTTCCACGCACATTGCGAATTCTTGCCATCTTGTCATCATCTTCTCGACTCGACTCGCTCGCTCGAGAGTCTCGAGCGCGACCGGCGGCCCCGACATGGACTGCCTATGATGGGCAGTTTACGGATCAAACGTGGGCAAATCGCTAGGGGGATGATTAAGGAGGTTATACGCGGGTCTTCGGCCCGCTTTTTACTCGGAAGGATCCTTGTCTACTTTTGGGGCATGGCCGTCGCTGTCCACGCTCCAATTTGGTTCCTAATAGCATCTTTAAGTCATTGTGCACTCAGTCACTGAGTCTCAGTGCCTCCTCTGCGCGCGTTGTCCCCTCGTCTCTCGCATAGGGGGCTCATCCGCACCAGTGAGAGGGTTCACCGGCACCAATCACCTCGAAAGTTTATCCACTCAGCAACTGGTACGGAGGGCGGCCTACGGCCGCCCCGCAAGCCCTCAGTGCTTCACGCTTTTGCAATCGGAGGGTTTTCGGGGTTGGCCGTTTTCCTCGGTGGAACAACCCTCTTGGGGATCGACAGATCCGCGAGCCACCGTGGGGAGGGACCCACTGGGCGAGCGACAAAACCCCAGACGCGACAAGCGACAACTAATGGCCTGACGACGGCTGCAAAAATGCAAAGTTTTTATTGACCAGTTCGATTTGAATCATTTTCGCATGAATTACTGCGGGCTCTTTACTATCCACACTACGCTAGTTTGTTTCACAGTTCACATCCTGGTTTTTCACATAAGGTGCGTTCAACTCAATCTTGCTTACTTACGTGCACTTGCATTTTCTACATATTGTGGCGCACCATATGATATGGTCCATATCGTGTGTTTATTACTCCTTGTTCGTTGCGTACTGTGATTAACATCAACAAGTACTAACATTTTAGTGCGTAGCATGTATGGCACCAGTGATCTAATGCTGTGGCGCGGCATCTTTTGCATTAGAGCTGCCAGCTGCTCCGGACATGAGGCAGATAGTTAAAGCTCGTTTCCTACACCTCCACCTCTATACTGGTCACATTGCATGCAGTGCTTGGTGGTAGTTGACCTGCGACGTGTGCCTATCATTCATGCAAGTACTGCAAAATACTTCAGCCTATCGTGCTCAAGCCTTGACACGCGTAGTAGCGACGAGCCCCCGCAGCGGAGGCTCTCCCAGAGCCGACTGCCGGGATCGGAGCCTACCATACAGGTCGACCGTCGAACTCAATCCAGGTTTCTCAGCGTCTTCAATTTGGTGCTCTCAAGCGTTAGGCTTTACATGCAATTTTCAATAACATGAGCTTTATAAGCTCTACAAGCCGTACCTCGCACACACTTTGTCTTTTACTGGTATTAGAACCTACGATCCTCAGTGGAGATTCCCCACCCAGGGAGATCTGGATTTTGCCAAGTGCACAAAACGCGCTGTTGAGGAAGTGCAAGATTTACCAAGTTCTCCAAGATAACCGTCTCAAAAATGATCTCCCATTGGCAATGGGCCATTGCCTCTTAGAGGTTGAAATGTTTAGGAAACTAATTGTGGCTGAGCCACAGTGGCACGTCCGAGATTTAAGGAAGATGAATTCAAATCTCGCCCGCCACTACGATCTATTTCGCAGACTGTTCATGCCATGAACTCCATAAATTTATGAAGCCTCTTAGAAGTTGCTAATACTCAAGCTTTGATAACTGGACTATTCAATTTTGACCAATGACTTATCAGGCATATCATGTGTTTCTATGACTTGTTGACAATGCATCATTCGAGAAATTTGACTCTACGCCGTGTTTTATTTTAGCTATGTATCGGCGTGCTGAACGTGTGCTAGCACGTGTGAGAATTTACCTAATTCATGATAGGTGTATCACTGGCGTATTTGTGTTATTTGTATTATAGTTCGTGATTCATAGATATTGATAGATGTACTGACGCGGTTCCAGCACTAAACAATTCCCACTAGCTTTAGCTTCGTGTTTTCCTCGTTGCGTTGGGGGGGCGGTGTCACAATTTTTGCTACATGCTCTGTGGCGAATCATTCGTAGAGCTATCGCGATGGTGATTTTAAAGTTGGAATCTCTGATTCGATTGGGTTCAATCTATGTTTCTCAACTAAAGTCTCGTTTCATCTGATGAAGTACAATCCGGAACTAATTGATGTGAAAGATCTACATGCAGTAAGTTATACTTAGTCATCGAAATTGAGTAGATAGTGGGCTTGACATCAGCCGTTAATCCTTCAGAAATCCTCACCCTATCGTATCTATTCAGATATCGAACCTATCCTTCAAGCGTCAATAACAGCTCTCTACGCTTACCTCAAGTGTTCTTCCCGCCTCTTACGTTTACGACCCTTACGTGATGTGCATCTAGGGCAGTACCAAGGTATGGTCTCATCCTCCAGATCGGGAGCCTCGGTCGAAGTGGCATCAGCCCAGAGTTTGGCACAATCAGCATGCCACCAGCCTGATTTCGCGCACCGTCGCGAAGAACAATAAACTGCAAGTGAGTGATCATCTATTCCCCCGCAACACCATGCTATGCTCGTCTTCTCCATAGATACTATCTGGTCATCGCTTGGCATCTCATGATTTGGCCAAGCGAACTCACTCAGCAGCTGATCGCACGTCGCCTGCCTCTGTCGTTCGACTCGCTGCCGTCTAGAAGACTGAGCCGATAACCGTTGTTATCCCAACAAGTCATTCCCAACAATGGACGATGCTCCTCATAACTAACAACATGCACCTCCTTCGGATTGAGCCAGCATCCATTGTGGAAATATAGAGAGGACTGAGTAATTTTCAATTATGGACGATGCCCCTTGTGACTAACTCTTTGGAACTCCTTCAGTTTGAGGGTGATATTCGCCATTCCACTATCCATTGTGAAAATAGAGGCAGGACGGGTCATTCCCAACTATAGGCGATGTCTTTTGTGACTAACTATGTGGGCCTCCTTTAGATTGAGGATGATATCCGTCACTCCACTATCCATCGTGAAAATATAGGAGTACTGAGTCATTCCCAACAATGGACGATGCTCCTCATAACTAACAACATGCACCTCCTTCGGATTGAGCCAGCATCCATTGTGGAAATATAGAGAGGACTGAGTAATTTTCAATTATGGACGATGCCCCTTGTGACTAACTATTTGGAACCCCTTCAGATTGAGGGTGATGTTCGCCACCCCACCGTCCATTGTGAAAATAGAGGCAGGACGGGTCATTCCCAACTATAGACGATGCCCCTTGTGTTGCTTGGCTGTGACTCTTAGTCGATAACACAAGTTAGAAGAAGTTGTAAAGATCTCTGTCTTAATTTATTCGGGAGAATGGATGATCAGCCATGCACATACGTGCAATCGCGCACAATGTCTAGAAGCAGTAACACCCTTGTGACTAACAAAATGGACCCCTTTCAGTTTGAGGGTGATATTCGCCATTCCACTATCCATTGTGGAAATATCTAGAGGACTGAGTAATTCCCAACTATAGGCGATGTCTTTTGTGACTAACTATGTGGGCCTCCTTTAGATTGAGGATGATATCCGTCACCACTATCCATCGTGAAAATATAGGAGTACTGAGTCATTCCCAACAATGGACGATGCTCCTCATAACTAACAACATGCACCTCCTTCGGATTGAGCCAGCATCCATTGTGGAAATATAGAGAGGACTGAGTAATTTTCAATTATGGACGATGCCCCTTGTGACTAACTATTTGGAACTCCTTCAGATTGAGGGTGATGTTCGCCACCCCACCGTCCATTGTGAAAATAGAGGCAGGACGGGTCATTCCCAACTATAGACGATGCCCCTTGTGTTGCTTGGCTGTGACTCTTAGTCGATAACACAAGTTAGAAGAAGTTGTAAAGATCTCTGTCTTAATTTATTCGGGAGAATGGATGATCAGCCATGCACATACGTGCAATCGCGCACAATGTCTAGAAGCAGTAACACCCTTGTGACTAACAAAATGGACCCCTTTCAGTTTGAGGGTGATATTCGCCATTCCACTATCCATTGTGGAAATATCGAGAGGACTGAGTAATTCCCAACTACTATTGTATCGAGCTTCGTTTTCAGTGTGGTGTTTCGTTGGATGTCTAATAACTTCAGCATCCATCGAATATGTTTCAAACAAGCGTCCACATGCAAAGAGCATGTCCCTGTTACGAATATATCCATCCAAGACATTCTCCAACCCTCATTCTCGCAGCCTCATCGTCTCGCTGGCTATGTGTACCTCCCTGAGACATGGCTACCGCGTTCCGGACTTGTCGCAAATGAGGTGCCATTTTTCATGGGCAATTGTGTATGTGTGCGCAAAGGGAGTGAGGGTTGCAGCTCGGCCACATTAGCGCATGCGTGCAGAATAAGCCCAGCTACGCGGGGGAAGGGCGAGTTCAAGGACAAATAGGCCTTCGTGACGAAGGAGCGGAATCCACGTCTCAATCAATGAATTTTACATAGGTCCCCGGTTTGATCCCCGGGTAGGACATTTCTCCATCATTAAAGCTTTTCGTGCATATCTCTTCGATCGGCTCGCATAATCTAGTTTTCCCATTTTCCCCAACACCTCCGCATACAGAGGAGTTATTTGATTTAGCTGATAGCCTCCCACGCTTCGTAGTTAAGCCAGAATAACTCTGCACGCACGCACGCACGCACAACGCGAAAGTGCCTGTTGTTACGGTATATGCTCCGCTCGCTTGGCTCGCTCCGCGACTGCGGTTCTACAAGGATTCTTGTTATGATCATGGTGACCACAGCCACCAGCATCAACGACAACCACTGGAGTCACAGGCACAGCCTGAGAACCTTCAATAAAGGCTGAGACCGCTAACTTGGAGAACTTGGTAAATCTTGCACTTCCTCAACAGCGCGTTTTGTGCACTTGGCAAAATCGAGGAAAACGGCCAACCCCGAAAACCCTCCGATTGCAAAGCGTGAAGCACTGAGGGCTTGCGGGGCGGCCGTAGGCCGCCCTCCGTACCAGTTGCTGAGTGGACATAAGTTATGTCACATAACTGTCATACCAGCGATTTGTTTAGCGGGCATACCATTTCAGGCGAGGATCACCTGGTCAGGTGTGCCGTCCCCCACTTCGCGGATGATTGCTTTAAGTAGGTGCGATTTGCCTGTTCCGGCATCTCCGGTGGTGTGAAAATATCTTTGTTCAGGTACCTCACCGCTCGCGAGTGTGGCCCTGGCATCCGCAACGATCTTTGTGAAGGCTCTTCTCTGATCCGCATCTAGTCCGTGGAGCTCGGATTGAGGAAGGTAGCTGCCGTGTCTGACAATAACATTGGTTTTGGTAAGATTTCTATTATGAAAATGCTATTAATGCACCCAAGAATTGAACTTATCCCTTTTTCTTCTTCTTATATGTCGGGTTAGGTTATATGCACGGATTCTCTCGCCCTTCACCATCAACAGTAGCTCCCGTTAATCAGCACAGACTCCTGCGCTTACCCTTTGTGATGTGAATTATACGTCAGGATTTAAAATCGTCCTGCTCGGATCAACCCTACTTCAAGTAGACGGATTTTCATTTACCGTCAAGTTGACGGTGAATGACAATGTGTTGTTTGTTGTGCTCGGATTTTGTACTGCTATCCCTCCGCTGATTCAGTATCAGTCGCATCAAGTTGTGACATGGTGGTGGCTTCTCCCAACCTCATCGTACTGTTATGATAGCAGTGCTATCTCTTGTGGACCTCTTCTGGACCCTTGAGAGCCGTCACCACAATCATCTGAAATTCTGGTGATGGGAGTGACAGAACCGTTGGCTTTTCTTTTTAACAGTTCGACTTACCCTGGAATCATATCATCTGGAGATAGGGTTTTCGAACTGAAATAGCACATTGTCTAACAGGGTGTCTGGAGTGTTCTCGCTGGCCCTTGAAAATCCAAGGGATAGATTTATTCGCACTCTCTGATCGTACCCATAACCGCATCACGTCTCCAAGGTTAGAAGCCTCTGGTCCGTGGGACAAAGTAGATAAGGGAAGTCGGCAAAATATGTTCGTAACTTCTGGAAAAGGACTGGCTCTGAGG